TAAAAAAATTATGATTTCAAAAAAATTAAAAAGAAACAAAACAGTCATATCTATAAATACAATTATTATTTATTATTATTATTATTATTTATTATTATTGTTTTAAAAATCCCTAGTATTGACTTATTATTACACAAAATATAGGTAATTTTTCACAGAAAACGAAATAATACATATTTACAATTTAATATAAAAATGTTATACCTACATTTTGATCTTAATTTTACTTACTAAGCCAATCAATTTTCCCTGATCAATTCAATTTTAATATAATAATATGTAAAATTAAAAGATTATTTTATGTCCGATTTACAAAAACTTTAAATTATTTATTCTAAATCTCTGTCAAAGTTTATCAGGCAACTAAATTTTAATGAATGTTCATGCAGCCCACTTAGTCAAGCATTTTTTTTTTCTGACTCCTTTATCCATTAATGTTCTCAAGCTCTATTGAGTTGCCTAAACATATACGAAGACCAGTTGTTTTGAAATTTTATTGGTTAGGCAACTCTGGCACTGTACCACTCTTTTATCCTTTTACCCATCTATCCATCTATTTCAGTCCAGCTTAGTTGCAATGCCCATTGCAAAAGTCTCCATACCCAGGGATATCTAAAACAAAACAAAATAATAAAGGTGCAGTGTATCTTAAAATTAATAATTAACATAGGTTTATATTGTTTTTTAAATGCTTAGAAATAACTTTAGTTTTTTATAATAAAAGGTACACAATTTTTCAATAATTTCGAAAAACAGACATCTGATTTATGCTCTTGGTAAGCGAACCATGGAAAATTAACATGTTCGTAAAATATAAAATTAATTTTTTAACAATGCATTCTATATGTCCATATTTGGGTAGTATTTGATAAATATATTTATAAATAGTACCCAAAAAATTGAACAATTTCTTTTTGAGCATAAATCAAATGCCTTTTTATCATATTCTTTTAAATGTGTAAACCTATCATGAGGTTCTACAATACCTGTTCGTAAATTGCCTGTACACACTTCCCATTTCTTAGATGTGGTTTCTCTATTAAAGGTTCCTCGACACATTCAATTTTATCATTAAAAAATTCTACTTTCTTTTAGCTGATGTTATATTTGAAAAAGATAGTTTAATCAAAACATCACTAATTACATTTATTTTTGCAAGTAAATTTGATGAAGGCATTATAAGTTAATGACATCCTTAGAACCTCAGTATATGTTTACAGCTATATATATATATATACATTACTTAAATCTAAAATAATTAATTAAATTTTACTCACCTACATTTTCTACAAACATGTCATTTTTTAGTGCATAGTGCAACATAACCTAATTTATTATCAAAGCCAGATTTACACCACTTCTTAATATTCAAATTTAGCTTTAACTTTATATATTTATAATAATTATCCCCGTATTTGATCATATATTGTAATAAAGTGATATTTAAGAAATTGCATTAGTAAAGTTATTGATTTCTTTAATATTTATTCATTTTTTAATTATTATATGGGTGTAAAAACGGCTTTATATTTAGTGATCGCAGCGCGTGAAGCGCGATATGATAAACTACAACCAAGGAAACAATTCCCGCCTATTATTCAAACCTTCTGTTTTAGTTTTTCTATGGTCCTAATAAGGATGACTTTCTCCTTAGTGGGCAAAATCAAAGGCAGAGTGTTGAAAATATTTTGAGTGTTGAAAATATTTTTTATCTCTGCTTATTCTCTTTCGACATTATTTAATAATCATTGGTTACTTATGAACCTCTACTAAAGATAAAATATGTTGCTGAATGTGAATATCCGAATATCTTCTATATCCTGGGATATAGACGGACATTTGGTTGGATATCCATATTGGATATATTGAATATCCACAAAATATATTCTGTGGCTATCTCTGGGATTTCTGGAAAATACCCATTAGATATTTTGCTGGATATCCATTAGGATATCTTTTATATTCTGGATATAGACGGACATTTGGATATCCATATTAGATCTACGGAATATTTCTGATATCCTGTGGATATATCGGATATCCACAAAGATATTCTATGGATATCTCTGGGATTTGGTGTGTTGTCTGGGTGCATTCTATTTGCAAAAGCCATATTATATCTTAACACAACAATTAATGTTAAATTAACAATGACAATGAGGATGACATTTCTAACGCACTTCATTTGTTTCCACAGCACACTTGTTTAGAATAGTACAAAATTGAGAGATTCTGATATGGAATGAAAAATGGTCAAAAATAAAGTTACATAGTGTTTACTGTTTTGACATATAAACCCATTTTACATTATATGTATGCTAATTCATCCACAGAAAGGCATTTCTTAAAAAAAATTACACCCTATATATTAAGGACTTTGTTAATAATATTGATTATGGGAAAATAAATAAATACCTAGATAACAATACTTTTTATGAAATACAGGGTGATACACACGTCTAATTCGTTTTGGATGCAGCAACAATTAAAGAAATATTCATTTTTTAGAATCACCCTATATTTTTCAATTCGATTCGTCAAAATGTACGATATATTTATTTTTTTACTTAGCTGTAAGCAATTAATACCTTCGTATAATTTCATAATTTTAGTATGATCCGTTCTTGAGATTCCAATATATACAGTGAACCATTAAATATCAGACAATTCAGGATATTCGCACACTGGAATTTTTTATTTGCTGAAAAATTATCGGGGTTAATATCACAAGAACTCAGATTTAGCCGGATATTTTTTGTGGTTATTTTCGAATACTTACTTTCATTGGCAATTGCCTAATGAAAGTATGAGAAAACCACCTATATCCTGCTAGATCTGAGCTCGCGTGGTATTTGGTAAGACCATTCCATGAATAGAAAAATCAACTCAATTAAGCTTTATTTTTTTTTGTATTTTTATGGAGTTGATTTTTCAATCTCCCTTACTATTTCTGCCTCGCAAATATTAATAAATCTCGTGTAAACTACACAAATAATTAAATGTTTATTTTAAGAATGAAGTTTATTAATATTAAAATAATGTTACAAAAATAATAATTATTGAAACAAATGGAATAACACAGTCTTAACAAAAGAAATAGACTGCATTCCTCAACGGTGTTCGATAATCTGCTCATCCAAATAGTTAACCCACTGATTGAACCTTAGAATATGATTGAACGACCCTTTTCTGTCGACCGCCTGGTTTATGATGTTTTGTTTTCCCAGAAATCGGCTCGGGTTAAGGGACCATCCAAACAATAGATTACAGTCGGCCTACCTGACTTTTTCACGACCCCGTGAAACATGGTTAAACTATAACAAAGAAAATATATTAATTAAGCTGAAATTAATAAATATGAGCACGAATATTTCTATTCGTCCTCGGCTTCACAGTGTCGCTTTGCGAAACTGTCACTTCATTTTGTCTGAAGGATAAATGCCCGTATAAGCTGTCCTACAACGTTCGGACCCTGGCAGTTCGTCAACTACGTACTGTACTGATCATTATCAAGTACTTTAGTAACTAGGAAGGGTTCTCTTTAACAAGGTTCAAGCTTTCTGCTCCATTTCCTTGTATCAACACATGTTGGCCAACATTAGTTCAATAGTTTTGTTTTTTGCATGAACGTAGAAAGATGCTTTTAATCACGATCTACATCTTTTGACCTTGGAAAACATATATGCCATGGAAAATGTTGAAAAAATGGTAAACTTTTTAAATATGACCATAATTAAATTGTTTGATTATCATGCCCCAATTGTTACCAAAAGAGTAAGCAAATCTCCTTCGCCCTGGCTAACATACAACATCAAAGAAATGATGAAGCTTAGAGATAAAGCTTGTAAAAAATTTAAATCTACTCAATCCATTGTGCACTGGAATTACTACAAAGAACTCAGAAATTACACCACATCTGCAATTCGTCGTGAAATGGGAGCATACTTAGACTTTGTACTGCTGCAAAAAAATTCTAAATCTACTTGGAATGCTCTTAGATCTCTTAATATCTTGAGAAAACCAACTGCCTCTTTTCCTGATAATTTAAAGGATACAGATAGTATAAATTCTCACTTCACCAACATTACTCACACACTAAAAACTCACCCCCAACTTTATCTTCTTGATCGATATCAGAACCAGTCTAGTGATAATACTTTTCAATTTTCCCCGTTACATCATCTCAAGTGAGAAAACATCTTTACAAAATTAAAAGCAACGCTGTAGGTTCAGACAATATTTCATTGAGATTAATTCACCTCGTACACGAATTCTTATTAGAACATTTAACGTTCATCTTAAACACATGTATATCCAGTAGTCAGCTCCCGGAGCAATGGAAGAGAGCCTCTGTTATTCCATTACCAAAATGTAACAATCTCACTACCCACTCAGATCTTAGACCAATTAGAATACTGCCTACTCTATCAAAAGTATTAGAGATGATCTTAAAAGAACAAATGAACACGTTTATGGAAAAATACATCTTATCGGCTACGCAATCGGGTTTTCGTTCTAGTCACAGCACTACTACTGCGCTTCTAGACGTAACTGAGTATATATAATTCAATTGATAAAGGAAATGTTACTTGCCTAGTGCTGCTATAGCAAGGCCTTTGACACACTTGATCATCAACTTCTATTAAAAAACTATCCTATTTTGGATTTTCTGCACATGTCGTTGAACTTTTAAAAAGTTATCTTGAAAATCGCACCCAGAAAATTGTCCTGGACGAAGCTGTGTCGATATCCCTTCCGGTTAAGTATGGTGTTTCACAAGGTTCCATTTTAGGACCGCTACTTTTCTCACTTTACATTTCAGATTTTCATCAATTTGTAGAAAATTGTCATATTCATCATTACGCCGATGATTCGCAACTCTACTTGCCTTTTAACCAACGAAATTCTTTACAAGCTCAATACATCATAAATCTAAATTTAAAAAAATTATATGATATATCGTCAGCACATAATCTCAAATTAAACTCAAAAAAATCTGTCTTTATGTTATTTGGACCCAATAAAGCTATACATCTTCTAACTAATAATTTTAAAATTAGCATAGGTCATGACCCCATTCCACTTGTTTATGATCATAAAAACTTGGGACTGTGGATTGATTCTGAAGTTAGGTTCACAAAACATATTTCTCAACTGTGTCAAAGCTTATACAACGTGTTAAGACAATTGTATCCTAATAGGGATATACTTTCACCTAAACTTAAATTAAAAATGTGTGTATCACTCATTGGGTGGTATTAATAAAACCTGAGTCTGAGCACAGAGCAAGTGCTCGGAGTATGAGGGCAGAGTCTGAGCTTTTACTCGTGTTGGTATAAATAAACACAAGCTGAGTATTTGCTATACTTTCGAGCTTAAACTCAATTATCGTGAGCATATGCACCGTACGGCGTGGCGCCGGCGTGTTTTGGCTACAGCTAAAAAACATGTCTTAATTTGCAAGATGTAACCACAACAAATTATGAATTAGGAATATTACAGGTCAGTGGTTTCTTAGCGGTCGTTGACTTGTGTGATTCTGTGATTTTAAAATGAAAACTAACAACGATGATATATCTGATGTGGCATTTGTTCAGTTACTGAAAAAACATAAACATATATTAAATAAATCTCAAGTGCCAGCTGCGAAGCAAAAAAAGGAAAGTTCCTTAAGTCAACTGAAAAATGAATTGCAGCAAAACTATGGAGTAGCTATGACAGAGGGCCAAATAATGAAAAAAGTGAATAACATGAAAACCCGTTTGAAGAAAAACATTGATTTGAAGCAGACTGGAAACGTACCCATCATACTAAACGAATGGCAGAAGCTTCTCAATGAAATACTTGAGGGAGATTCTAATCCAAGCATCAAACGATTAGACGGTAAGTTGAGCTACGTACCAACAAGTATTAATTATTTTAATACGAAATCAACAATGCAATAAAATAAAAAACAGTAATATAATTAAGCTTAATGTATAATATTTTTATTTCAGGAGCTGTTTCACTTGGAGTCGCCTCTTCAATATAGATGGATGAATCACTACAGTCAGGACTTGAGCTAGCCCTCGATAGACCTAGTACTAGTTCCAGCCAAAATCCGTCACCTAAACGTCCAAAATTCCTAGTTAAATCTAGTACTGACAGTCTCGGAGAACTGGAAACAGTCGAGACAAGAAAACTAACCACTCCACAACTACAATATCTTGTTTTGTTAGAGCAGCTTCAGGTACTGATATTGAAGAAAGAAAAGTTGTTTAAAGACCAAGGGAAAGTAGAAGAAAAAAATTACCACACATGTAGATGATGATGGTACAGTATTTCGGGAACTTTAAAGTTTTGAAATTTTCTGTTTTGTTTAGTTAAATACACTACATTAAATATATTTTGTTACTCCTATGTCCAATGGTAATACTAAGTAGGTACTTTGTTTTGATAATATATATTTATGTATTTTATTCAAATTAAATTATTATTGATTCATCTCATAGATAATATTAGCAATATCAATTCTCCTTATATTTCCTCTACCTCGCTCTAATATTTTCATCTTCAATCTGCGCGCCATCAACATTTTCTTCGCGATTTTCTTCTGCTGGGAAATCGTCATCTTTCAAGTGTTTAGCAACGTTATGTAATATAAAACAACACGCTACGATCTGAGGTACTTTTTCAGTCGCAAGTCTAATTTTGTGCTGCAAAATGGGGAATCTCTGTTTTACTTGTCCAAAACACCGCTCGATGATGACCCTTTCTCTGGTAAGAAGGTTGTTGAATGCTCGTTGCTCTGGATTATCAGGTGTTCTGAAAGGTGTCATTAGCCAGGGAGCAATACCAAATCCTGAATCGCCTAGGAGAAGAGCACGAACTTGATTTCTGCTGATAACTGGTTGGATTTCAGAATTGGTCCAAATACGGGCATCATGAGCAGAGCCCAGCCAAGAGACATCTACGCTTGTAAACATTTCAGATCTGTTGCAAGTACATTGAGGCTGGGGAATCCTTTTCGGTTGATATACTCGTCTCCATGGGCAGCAGGCTTTAAAATGGGGATATGAGTGCAATCTATTGCTCCTATTGCACAAGGAAAATTGTATGCGTTGCCATGCAGCCTTTTCTCGTTCAAATTCTTCGTCAGTAGAAGGGAAATGGATCCAATAATCAGATTTTTGCATTATTCTTTGAATAACTTCTGCTATGACATTTGAGACAGTTGGTTGACGAACTCCTATATATGTAGCAACACCCGTCTGAAAACCAGGATCAGCCACATACCTTAGAAAAATGTTTAAACGTTGCAGTGGTGTGAGAGCTCCTTCTCTTCTTTCCTCTGAATGACCCAGGAAGTGTTCACTCATCCTTTCAACATTTTCCCTTTCAAAACGATATAATACTTTCCAGTCTCGATCGTCCACGTCTCTAGGAACTGAATGTACTTTACGACTGCGTAAATTATTTGTAAACTCGGCCATAATGCCACTCTCTTTAAGTTGAGTTTGCCACTGACCAGACAAATGAAATGGAACAGATGCTCTAGTCTTCAAGCAAATACTTTTTTAATTAATACCACCTGGAGCAAATCCTCACAAACTAGAGTCAACCGAGTTTGAGCAAAAGTTTAAATTTATTTTTGAATACGATTTGAAGCAAATACTCCAAATGCTTTGAGTCTGAGCTTATGCTTCATTTTATTAATATCACTCATTATGTCAAAGTTATCATACTGCGATACGGTATTTGGACCAGCTCTTCTTCAAAGGGATTTAAATCTTCAAAAAATTCAAAATTCGTGTATTAGGTTCGCTTACGGTATACGCAAATTTGACCATATTTCATAGAAATTCAAAGAATCAAAATGGCTGCGCATATCAAAAAATTACATTCTTAAATATCAAAAACCGAAATATCTATTTAATAAATTCACACATTTCAGTAATAATTACGGAACTCGGAATAAGAGTACGTTAGTAATTCCCAAATTTAGTTCATCCATTGGACAGCGAAGTTTCTCTTACACCGCAGCTAAATTATACAATACACTGCCTAAAGAATTTGGAACATACACTCTATATACACACCATCAAAATCTGACTCGTCTTTTAGCAGCATTTAAAATAGTCCTTAATAAAATACTAGAAGGGTACTTTTTATAATTGAAGACATAAGTGGATAGAGGTGTCATGTCATAAAAAGATTATTTCGAGAAAAACAAGTTTAAAGTTTTACAACTCCATTAGGATATATGGCTTTCTATCTAATGAATAGCCGTTATTTATCAAAATTGGAAATCAGAACTATCGCAAACAAAAAATGTAGTATATTTTAAGTATATTAGGCCATAAAAATCGTTTTTTGAAAAAATGTGACATGACACCTTTATCCACTTGTGTCTTCAATTTTTGAATCATCCGTATTCCAGTTACAACAAAATACTTGAAATAAGAGCACACATGCCTATAATTTTTGAACCAATTTTATATTTACAGTAAATCTAGTAATGGGATTGTCTTGTATTTTTTGTAGGTATATAACATGTGCTTCACATTATTCGCAAATCTCGAATGGAGGCATGCTTCTATAGAAAGTTTCCTAACAAAAATAAACTACCTACTATCAAAAATTCCTAATAACAAACTTTTAAAATTGTTCCTAATAACATAGTCCAAAAAAGAAGAAGAAAATATAGAATGTAAAAAAGAATCTAGTCTGAAGCTCCAAAGATTACAACAGCCACACCCTATCATAATAAATTAGCTGTTAGTTAATCTAACCCCAACCTTTTAGCTCATATAATTTTTTTGTAATTATTTTGTATGATAAACAAAGAAATAAAGCAAAATAAAAGTATGTAGTCATGAAGTGTTTTAATAAAGTAATACTGAAATAACTCTATAAGGTTTTTATGAGGTTTTATTTTAACTAAAACCTAAAAATCTACAGATACAAACTATATTTATAAGTGATAAGCTGGCATATGTACTGTATATAAAAATCAGAAAGTATGCTTTTTAATTAGAATATGTCTTATCAGTCATTCATTCTAGTCCGAGTTAGTAGAATTATTTCTACATTCAAGTAGGCGTAGAACGGGATTTGGTTAGTTAAAAAGAGCGTTGATTATACACGAGCAATACTGAATTCATTTCAAGACTTTTTACAATATCTTAGATATGTCAAGTTTTTCGTTAAATGTGTTTTTGTAATAATTCTTAGATGTTTATGTAGCTCTATCACACCCTATATTACTTACAAAAATTATTTAGCATGAAATGAAACTATAAAATGGCCAGAAGTCTGTAACCTACCGCACCCAGGTACCTTAATAATTTATTAATTCCATCTATTAAATATAATATTACATTCTTATTAAATATCAAAATGCTTCATTTAACGAAAAATCTCCCAGATAAATAAATCTTATTTACGACACCTAATAAATAATAGCTATAACCACGTCCGTAATATATCCACGTGTCTCTGAGAACCAGCCCAAAGAAAACACCATAAAGCGTATTTCTGTTTACGAAGTAATTATCATTAAAACACTTAACTCGCTTATATTTCTAGTTTCGATTTATAGACCTATTTCGACAATATTTCAATACACAAAGCTTTCAAAAGTAATAAATAACCCACCCCCTTTTGCACCCACATTCGTATTTTCTATGAGAACTAAAACGATAGAGACGTCACAAAAACGATTAAACTGTGTATAAAAAGTCTGACGAAAAGGAGCTCAGATTCATTCAATTTTGATCATTTGATGTGCAAGATTCATTTTTAATTATTTGATGCATGTATTCATTTATTTGTATCCAGTTATATTTCAAGTTCAGTAGCCAGTACCTTTCCTAAAACGCTCTCCCTAAACGACGTCTATCCTACAATACCTCCTATCCCCGAAGGTGTCAACGTCTCGACGCCCAACGTCCTGCCGTCCTACTCTCTACGTCTCGAACGCTGTCACATTCCTCATCATCTAAGTATTTCCTACTGTACATTCATTTCGACGCTCAATGTCCCACGCCTTATTTCCGACGCTTGCCGTCCCCAAATATTTCCTTCATAAAATCACGTCCCGCACCACCTACATAATTCTACCGTATATCTGTCCCAATACAGTACCGTATTAAATACCTTCCTTTCCACCACGACGCTAGGCGTCTCGACGCGCCTCGACGCTCAATGCTGCGACGTACCTAAATCGACGCCTTCCACGACGCTAGATGAAATTAGTACATAATCTAATGTCTGTATTTTCAATGGTGAGTCAAAAGATTTATTGTACCTTTCTTTGAGATACCACCCGGTTTCGTTTGAGGGCGGCTTGACATTTGCTACAAAATATCAATTTAACCAATAAACCACATGGCCTTCAGGTCATACAAGCTGAAAGACACTTAGGATAACATCTGTTTTGGATGGGTCAAATTTTGAGTATTTTAATAGAAATTATAAAAATCAATATAAAGAAATATAAAGAAATATACAGGGTTGAATTAAGTTACTTTAATAGAAATTATAATAATATTAAAATACATACAGGGTTGTATTAAGTCTTTTCAATAGAAATTATAGAAATCAATATTTTAGAAATGTACAGGGATGTGCTATCTTGGATAAATTGTACAAACCAAGATGGCAAAATCTAATAGTAAGTTAACCAACTGGCGAATACGCTGTTCGTTAGCTCAAGGGGGGGACCTATACGCTAAGCAACCCGTTCTACAAGGTTTGAAACAAAGTATATGTGAAATCAACATAGTAAGGTAATCAACTGGCGAATTGGCGCTGTTTGTTACTTCCGTTGGTCATCACTTCTATACTCATCGTAATATTTACCTAAGAGGGTGCAACCTGTATATATCTAGAATAGAATCAAATTAACATCAACTCAATAGTTAACCAACTGGCGAATTGGTGCTGTTCGTTAACTCCGTTGGTCATCAACCTAAATCAGAATATAAACAACAACACTATAGTTAATCAACTGGCGAATTGACGCTGTTCGTTAACTCCGTTGGTCATCAACCTAAGTAAAATATATATTGATAGCAAATGAATATGGTCTGCGTTTGAATGGGTCTCAAGTGAGATCTCAGTAAATAGTAACAATTGTAATATACTTTGCTAATTATTGCATCACATTTAAAGTATGAACAATAAATAGAGTTTAAATATGAATTTATATGTTTTATTTATCAATTTGCACCAAACTTTGCATCGAATCCTGGTTTACCTTAATTAACATTATCACAACGTGGGTATATAAAATATCAATTAATTAACTAGACGATCATTTTTACTACTAGAGGAAAAAAGGCCAATTACAGTAAGTATAGAATTTAAAGTAAAACTTGTGAGGTAAATAATAACAATTTCACAGAGTAAAACACAAGAACAACAACAAAATCATAAAAGAAAAGGGGACCTGGGGGGGTGCCGTCACAAGTCATATTCTTACTATGGTAATACATGAAAAATGCACCATATTTCAGTAACCGATATTCCTAATTTTTTAAACATGCTGTATGTAAGTAAGCATGAACAAATTATATACAAGTGTAACACATGACATAAGTTGCATGGAAAAATCAAGAATTACTTAAAAATTGGGGAGATATATTTGAAAATATTAATTCTGCATTCCTTATAGCTATTCTAGGGATGTCGCTACACATGGGGGTGTCTGTATATTAGCCAAAAATGGGATCGTAAGTATAGCAGTTATGTTTAATAAATGTATTGAAAAGCTGTTTGATGCTACCATAATAAAGATTGACATTTTTGACAAAAAAAAACTAAACTATATATTATTACAGTATACAGAACACCAGATAGTAAGGTAGATGTTTTTCTTGATGGGGTAATATGATAAACTTTTTTATTATTAATATTAGGGAAAAAGTTAGTTCTTCATAAAAAGTCGAGCATGGTCTAAAACGTAAAACATCAGATATCAAATTCTATAAGTCGTATAGGTTTGTCAAAAATAAAGGTACTCTTCAGTAAAATTCAGAACTTTTTATAAACTTTTATAAAAAAATTTTTTTCATAAAACTAAGAATAAAATAGTAGCCCATATGGTTCAAACTTAATTGGACACACTGTATATAATGATTGTAAAAACACACAGCCTCAGAGTGATAATGAAACATTTAGGACCCCTATCTCGAATGATGCCTCATTATCTTTTACACAATCTACTACTTTTCAGGTACTCGAAGCTAACCTGAGAATGTATAAAACTAGGGTCTGGCCGACTCAGTAAAAAATCAGTTATGCTAGATAAGCTAGACTTGTAAGTACGATATATTAAGTTAAGTGGCCAGTTCTTGGCTATTAGCTACTACATACCTAGTTGGTATTACTAGTTTGTGTTGCCACAACTGAGTGCCTTGTCATGACAGTCAGTAAATCAAGTTGTTAGAAAAATATGGATGTACCGTTATAGTAGCTTTAAAATAATAAAGACTTGTGCTTAGAGGTACGCTTGTTTCATTACCCAAAGTACAGAATAATACAACACCAGTGATAAAATACTGTAATTTAATTACTGGTGTAATGGTCAAAAAAAAAAAAATTATTTGCATCTGCTATAAATCTTACTAAAATGAAGTTACATTTTTCTTATTAAGGTGATGATATATCTTTTAAAACTACTTATTTACATGAAAAAAAAGCAACATTCAAAAAAATATTCAAATGATCACATCTATGACACAAAAAATAAAAAACTTTTTCAGTAAAAAGGTCAATCATACATTTTATAAATATCTCCAGCGTATGCTGGATGCTCACTATAATATAACCTGTTACCTACAGAATTTAAAACTATAAAAACAAATAAAAAGTATCTTGCAGATAACTGTTTCTACAACTTGGCTGATTTACGCAAACAACTCTAATAATATTATTTTCAATATTTTTTTATATATACAATATCTGTACCTTTTTGTGAAAGTCAAACTAGTTGTTCTAATTGTAACGTCTCCACTGGACTGTACACAATTTTAAAATATTTGTAAATTCAGACGAAACTGTTTCTTGTAAAATCAAAATTTTAGCAAATAAAAATATTATTATCATTAGAATAAATAAAGTTATTGGAAATTACACTTACAAGTTAGTGGAAATAGAAAGTAACTTAATAAAAGGACGATATCACATAGAAATCTTTTACCACATACTATGACATAAAATGCTTTAATAACAAATAAAATTTAGAAACACTAGGATGTTATTAAAACAAAAATGTATATTATTTTTATAATAACTGATATTTCACGATACAAGACAATAACTACGTTTGTTAATGTAATTATATTATTATATAAAAATGTAGGTAAATAATAAAACTTACCCAAATTTCTTGATAACATAAACATAAATTTAATAAATATATCTTAGGTTGAAAGGTAGAGTATATGATGATCGAAATAGTATAGTTGCAACTCATATATCAATAGTTTTCAATTGTAAATAATTGAATTCACTGGAAAATCTGGGAAACATACCATACCTAAAATAAAAAAAGAATAAATAAATAAATCTAACAATAGTAAAGGTAATAGAACATACAGGCAATAGGAAATAAAGACAGTGTAGAAAATTTTATAATCAAATAGAAATTGTAAATAATATGTAAAATCGAAAGAAACTTAATATCTTCTTAATATTATGAGTGAAAGCTAATAAAAAGTGAGGTTAAAAACGATATAAAAAAATTAATTAAAATAGTCATCTGGGATATTAAAGGAAATATGTTGTTGCTAGACAACGAAAAACAAAGGAAGGTAAGAAATCAATAATCTTGAAAAGGTTTTGCTTAGAAAAATAAAATGACAAATTTGAATTTTCATTAAATGAAAATTGAGAAAAAATAAGTATCAATTACCTGGACAGTAGTATAGCCCCAGTGTAGAGAACTCTATATTGGGGTATAGCTGTAAATATCTTAGAAGGTTAGCAGTAGCTTGGTATTTGGAGTACCAGTAAGGTAAGGAACCATTACATTTTTTTTCAATAAATCAAATGGAATTACACAATTTTTCGGAGGTACAAATCCTTGAAAATCTTAAAAATATCTTGATAAACTAAACAGTCTAGTCATGAACTGAATAAAGTTACAACTTAAAAAATTAATGAACTCAGTGTGTATGCCATGCAGGTGTTATAACTTTAATTTATTAATTTAAAGGTATTTTATTGAAAACTAGCATTTAAATCTATTTAAATACGTTAATAAAATTAAAGTAAGGTTAAAACTGTTAAAAGTTAAGGCAGTGGCTCCGTGTCCGATATCGGATACGCAGCTGTCAGCTGTGCGTTCTCGACGTCCGACCTCGGACATAGAGCTTCAAATTCTGTAGGTCATTCGGCGTCGACGTGCTGCCGTCTTCCTTTAAATTTCTTGAGTAGTTTAATTATTTATGGTCCGTATTTGTTAAAGCGAATACCTAAAGGGGGTTCCACAAGGTTTAATTAACCAATTTTTTCTTGGACCTTCAAATTTGCATATTGTCAAATCGACTGATCATTCTTCCACGACGCTCTCAACGACTTTTTTTCTCATAAAAAATATTTTTTTCTGGACAGGTAGGGTGACCATATTTCTTTTTGACGTTTCCCACGGGCGTACTATTTGTTTTTATTCCTTGTTTACCTTCTAATTTGGGTCGAAAAAAAGTTTATTTTTCGTTTCTTATATACTTGTTTTTTTATTTACTACACTGCAAATTTTAATTATTTCCCCCCTGTATTAAAATCTACTGTTCAGATCTACGGTTTTTTTTTTCACCCATACTGTTCCAAAATCTGGCAACACTGCCTAGATCGAAAGAAATTTTCAACCTATTCACCTCCAAAATGAAGCGATGCTCGAGGACAGTTACCTCGAGTGCGACAGGCAACAAACCTTTGCCCCGAGTCAGATTCAGAATTGTCGTCAGAAAGTGTCGTCTTGACGACACTTCTCGTGTCGCACCGTGCGAAATGTGTTTCATATAATTGTATGTATTTTAGATGTGAAGCGACACTTCTCGGTCGCGTCGGCGGTCGTATGTCGCGTCGGCGGTCGTCTATCGCGCCTACCGAAATGGTACCTACTGTTATTATTTTGGGTTCAACAATTTCATTGCTTCACGGTACAGCGATTTCCTCAAATGCATTCAAACAAATGATATGGATGCGAGTCCGAGCTCTAGTGACCGATTCGAATAGGAAATTTTTTGTTTTTATATCACGTGCATCTCATAAACACGCATTTAAAAGTAATTGTAATTAAAAAAATGTAATTGTACTTATAAATGTAATAATTGTAATTGGAAAAGTAATTGTACTTATGACAAGTAATTGTATTTAGACAATTTAAATAATATAAATTAATATAATTACAATTCCTCCACAGATTTTGCTGCAATTACAGTTCCAAATTATTTTGAGAAAAAAAGTACTTAAATAATACTATTAAAAATTACATGAAAAAAAAAGTAATTTAACTAGGAATTTCCCAGCTCTGTCCTAGATTATATGGTATACAGGCATATCGTATATTAGGTCAGGTACATGTCCCTTGAAGGAAAAATTGACTAATTAAACCTTGTTTATTATGAAATGTTACAATATAAAATGCAACAATAAAAAGTTAATTCTTAGATGAGTAGTAACACTAGTAACTATGGAACACCCTCTTCTTCGCTTTTAAAAATACAACCCATGATGAATTATTATTTATTATGCAATTTAAAGAAAGGCGGCAGCACATCGACGCTGAAGGACGCGGAGAGCGCGTAGCTGCGTATCCGATATCGGACATGGAGCCACTGCCAAAAGTTAAACTAAGGGCCCTATTCAGTAATTTATCGTTTATGGACGACATCGTTAAGCCGTTGTATGAATAAATTATCTTCATACAACGGTTAAGCTAACGACAGTTCAACCAACGACTTTTATAACGATAATTTTTGAAACTCTATTCAATAACAAAGTCGTTACGTTGTTTCTAGTTACCAAATCTGAACGATGATTTCTAGTAAGTTGGTATTATAATTTAGTGTTTTGTGATAAAAGAACGTATGTTTAAATTAAAGTTTCACAGTTAAGGCCAACTTCAATTTTGTTTGACATATCATCACGATTTTTTTTAGGTTAGAAAATTGCATTATCGATTTTTTTTATTCGAAGTAATAAAAGACGTCACTTTAAATTTCTATCTCTTTATGTCAACAAATTTCTAACACGATGAATTTATAAAACGTATGTCACTTATGAATATGTGGCGGATTGACGGCAACACTGTCAGCTACTCCATGGCTACTAGAGTACATACAGGTCCGGTATAAGCCATGGAAAATAATAATTTAATGTTTTGATCGAGTTAAATACAATATCAAAATTAAATGTTTATTTTTAAGTAAACGACATTTTTAAATGTATACGTTTTCAATCAAAAATAATATAGGCTAATACTCAAGTGTATTATACGAGTGTACTGGACAAGAGATAATTTTACCCTTTACTCCAGTTTTTTGTAATGAAACCAGCGGTAAAATAGATATTTGTGTACCAAGGCTGTGTTTTGGCCGAATTTGACATATGCGTTCAAGTCAAGCCACTACTGGTTAAGTATAAGAGTAATAGGCAATAAACGGGTGTTCAATCAAACTTTGACATCAAGATAGATGTCACATAAGCAGGTGTACTGAAGATGAACTTTGCAAGACCAAGCATCAGATAGGTAGGTATAACACTTGATATTCTGAAAACTATGTGGATACTACACTGAATGAGAAGGAATGGAAGTGTCAGAAGGAGGCTAAAGGCAAAAAATAGGCGGAACAGAGCCTAATAGATAGATAAGTAATATTTTAGCCAGGAGAGTCGATAAGTGTTATAAATATAGTTAATTTATGAATGTATTTTTGGTATAAAACTATGGCTGACATAATAAAACTCTTAAAAGTATATATATTTTCAATCTTTATTACTATACATTATTTTTAGTATTCACTTATTCTCTCTGACCTAGGGAAAAGGTCAAAAAACCCTGGTCATAATTGTTTACAATGTTGCGTGTTCCTAATGATACAAAACATTACAGAGGAATGATACTTAGCCGATGAAATCTCATAGAGTTCACGCATGACATATTGTGGTATGGAATATGGCTATCTCTGATGCATCTGCGGATTTAAATTTATTTATGCGTACTGTTTTCTATCAACTGATACCCCAAATTTATACAAGCCACGTCTTCGCACCACAATGTGACATAGCATCAAATCTGCTTAATCTCGTACCATTTTTTTAAGTATCAAGGATATTCTTGGTGTAGCTGATCATCATATTTCGAGTCATTGAACCTAAAAAATAACAAATATCAATAAATAGAATTCGGAATTTATTCCAAAAATATTTTTCTTTGGGAATTATATAGGATTTCTCGTTAATATACTGACAAACTTTTAAAGGTGGTAGGTGCATCAAAATAAACATTTTTTTGCTTATTAAAATAAAAATAATTTTATTGCCCAACAAATTAATCCATTTACATAACAAAATACATGAAATAAATGTTAAACATAATATTTCGACAGAAAATAATTTCAGCAACAGCAAGAAAAAAAAAAGAAAAGAAATAATCCTAAATACATTAGCTACAAATTAGTACAACTAATGGTCGAAATAAATATCCCAATCAGAACAAAATTAATTAAAATTTGAGCACATTAGCGTTATAGGTGAATTTCTTCCTAAGTTCGTTCAAATACTTGCTGTATAAAATGTTTTATGATATCTAATGGCTGTTTGGGGAACATTAAAATTTATTTAATTTATCACAAATAGTACATCAATAGTGTTATGTAATATTTTATAAAAAAATGTAACACTGAAAATTACCCTTCTTTTTTCGAAAGAAGCAGAGATTCTTCAATACCTCGAATTATATACAGCTCATCTATTTTAAAAGAAAGGTACTTAAGAGATCGCCGCTGAACATTTTCCAATGATCTTTTATGAATATTATAAATAAGGTTCCAGACAAGAGATGCATATTCTGGCCTGGAACGAACTAAAGAAAAGTAAGGATCTCCAAGCTTTAAGAGTTTGTTAAAGAACCAGTATTACGGAATTAGGAACCCTAAGCTTTTCAACGCAGAAGCAACCTCGGAAGCAACGGTATTTTCAATATAATCCGAAAAAGTAACTTTTTGGTTGAATAATATACCTGCTTAATCTTCAATTTGTGCACAAGTCCGATAAAGGTAGGCTGTTAAATAAATAATCAAACTCCACCTTGTTATTACTTCTAGTATAGGAACATACTTTACATTTAGACACATTCATAAACAGCTTGTTTTCATTACACCAATTTTCAACGATTCCCAAGTTGGGTCTGTAAAAAGTAACAGTCTTGAATTGATAAGATTGAGGTAAATATTTTTAAGTCAGCAGCGAACAGCAGGTTAAATTTATTGCCAAGTCATTTATAAATATACTAAATAATAGTGGCCCCAGATTGGAGCTCTGTGGAACTCCAGATGTTGCTGTGAGGGGTGAAGATGAAAATCCGTTGTAAAAGACATAATTAAAACGATGATTTAGGTAAGATGAAAATAATCTCAACAGCGACTGATCAAACCCTAAGCTTTCCAACTTCCTTACAAGAATATTATGATTTTTAATTATTACAAAATACATTATGGGCAGGTTGTACAAAAAATATTCTAAACATATTTTAACTAACAAGAGTTTTATTTTTAACTAGTTATATTCAAAAACAAATGTCATTTTTAAAACTATGTTTAACAATAACCGATGAGTATACAACAAGGTTCACAGTTTAAACTAAGTCTACATTTTAACTGCCTATTGTACAACCCGCCATATGTACAATTAAAAATTAATTGTATTTCTTTAAAATGCACTTGATTCTATTGATCAAAACCATTCGATAAAAAAAAATAAAAAGTATTGGTATAAAGGTGGTTTTTTATATCTATGCCATAATGCATGCATTGGAGTAGCATGTAGATTACCTAAGTATCAGGTCAGAGATATTAAAATTAAATAACATATGTAGTGGGATTCTCATCTTTCAATACGTCTCCTATAGAGACTCCTATCTTTGTTCGACAGACAGCGATTTTGATGTAATGACTCTCTATTCTGTATGTAATGTGTCGAGTTGGCACAAAAGAATCGCTGTTCTGATCAGAAGAAATTAACCACATCAAAGGAAGAAAATTAGGTCCCCTGTTATTTTTAATTTATATTAATGATTGTTAATGTTGCAATAATTAATATGACATTTACCTGTTTGCCTTTGATGTCCTTATCTATGTTTCTTGTAAGTTGTAAGGATTCAGATAACTAAGAGTTAATAATTGTCAATGAAACTCTGCAAAATGTTTATAAATGATGTTGCAATCATTTGTTAAAAATCAACACAAATACCTAAAACAAAATATAAGCTGATAAGTAATAACTATATGCAGTTTGTGGACAAACAATATAGGAAATTGGAAGAAAATCTATACAGTTAGTAGAAAAATTCAAATATTTAAGGGTAATTATTCGGAAACAGATGAAATTCACAGACCATAGGCAAATACTGTTATCAAAACAATTGCAGTTAAATTACATTTCCTATTTAGAATGTTATTAAAATAATTGTTATATTATTACATTATTTTTTACTAAATTTGAATATTGTTATATTAGCAAACTAGCCAAATAAAAATAAAATAAAAACCGAAAACATACCTGGATCTACAATAATATATATAAATAATATAAGTACATTGCATCTTTTAAATTATTAAAGTCCATTAAATTGAAATGACACGTCAAACCATAAACGTCAAACTTTCAAAACAAACATGCTTGTGTTCCAAACAGAAAATAGCATTTATAGAATAATTTATTTACTTGCAACCTTTCCCCACACACCACCTCGCCCCTCACCCATAAACATGGTCAAATTGGGCTAAGCCATTTTACATTCGTCTGCATAGGGAGCGATGTTGCAATTTTTCAATTTTTAGTGTCTATTCCGTCTGTTCAGATGGCAGCATCTTATGGGCCCTACATTTTTAAATCTTATCACAAGAATCCTGAAATAATTAGGCAAAAATAAAAGAATGTATGTTGCGTTTTAACTTTTAAATACTATAAAAAATGATGGAAAGTCCATAACTTTTAAATATTTGTTAAATATTTTGCATTAAAAGTAAAACAAACCATAGACTTTCCATCATTTTTTACAGTTTTTTTAACCCATTTATGAAAACAGTTTTTAAAAATATTATCGTTCAGAGCTGTATTTCTTGTGATAAAAAAGTCGCCGTCACTTGTCATTGAACTTGGCCTTAACCCCCTGATATTTTGCTTGCTGCTGTCAGTGTCAGTGAATATCACATAATCAAAGTATGTGGTTGGGCGTGTCGGACCTCTCTCTTGCCTCGTATTAGGCATTCCAACGACCTGTCCAAATGGCTACCAGTGGGTACTGACAGTTTAGATATGGCAACCCTGTTGTCATGTTGTGATTAACAGGGTCAATGATACATATATGTTATATACATTGCTCAAAGCTGGTCGTTTGCGAGCAGCCATATTGCCTGACAAATATTTATTAATTTGAATCACTTTAGCAAAAATGTGTTTTAAAACCAATTTTCAGACTTTAGATATTTAAAAAATAATAACTGCTTATATTTTTACTTCAAGGCATAAGCTTATGTTTATTTTAAAAAATAGGGATGATCAATCTATGTAACTATCTATTTCACTCACCTTGTCAAATCACCAGGCCTATAGAGTTGCCATAACTTTGCCACATCATAACCTGTCAAAACCCACTGGTAGTCATTCAGTTTGGAATGCCTAATAGTAATCAAAGCATGTGTTCGCTGTTGATGCAGTGTCCACCAGTGAAAATTACACCAGTTACACATTATTTAGCCTAGACACATGTCGAGTGTAATTCACTTCTGATAAATAGCTGGAGCTCGATTCTCGAGTTCATTGGAAAATTTTCCCATGGGAAAAGATTCCACTACTTATAGGTCTTTTCCTTTGCATCGAAAGTGTAGCACTGAGCTACGTTACTTCTGAAAATATTGTTCCATCCATACAATTTGTATAAATGGAACGATATTTTCAGAAGTGGTGTGTAGCTCGGTCCTACACTTTCGATGCAAAGGAAAAGACCTTTATATTCCCATGGTAATAGGTTATGCAATTCTCGAACTTGTCGGAATAGACATTCCCATGGCAATAGTAGTTTCACGTATGTCTGATATTAAGTCCACGAATATTTCGAAATAACCAATAACACAAAAGATATTTTAAAATTTACTGTTGGCATTATTGGTATTTGTTGTGGTTTGTGGGTAACCTGTTACCTGCCGAGCCCCCGCTCCGGAACAGGTGTCGTGCCGTGCCGAGCAATCGCTAGCATGACCGAGGAACAAGGGAAAATATTCGATTGTATAATTAAAACTTGTTGAAATATTAGCTTTTCTTTTTACATGTTGAAAAAAGAAAAAGTAGCTTTTGTACGGAAGAGCAACGAAAGTTTCGAGAAACTAAGAAATTCCTTCGTTAACGGAAATAATAAAATTTTCGAAAGGGTTGCTTCATTATTCAATTTACTACAAATTTTGTGCCCTTTGGAATGCCTAATTAGGCATTCCAAACAAATGAATTACCAGTGGGCAGGTTTGGTATATCTAAGGGTGGCGACATATGGTGTATTCTATCTACTTTACGTAAAATCATGAATAATGGATTACATTTAAATATTTTATGTCAAACACAACAAAAATAATATTTAAAAAACCCACCTATACATTTCTTCATAAATTGGCAGGCTTGGCGAGTACTACTTCGAATAAAAATAGCGTCCAAGTTGCAAGACTATGTCGCTACCCCCTTAAATATACAAGAATTTCCCACTGGCACCTATTGTTTGACAGGTCGTTGGAATGCCTAATTGTGTAGTGGCAACACTGAATACTGAATTATTATGTTTAATGCTTCAATTTTAAATTTAAAATAATCAGAGTCCTGTAAAAGGTGAATATAAAAAACCTTTATAAAAACATTAATACTATTCTAATCCGCGCACCATGTTATAATCTAAGTAACCAAAGATTAAACATGATTCGTGTAAACTTGGTAGAACCTAGGTTGTTGTCTGGTAGAACTTACAAATAGCTTGGAAGCCATTTTATTTTTTGTTTCTAGGAAAAACGGAATATTAGATTGTAAGAGGAAAAAGTGTACAGCGATATACGTACATAAAAATTAAAAATGGAGAGCCAAGAGCAATACATGTTGGAAGTACAAGAAATGAATTACCATCAATTACAAAACTCATATCAACGAAATATTCACTACCAAAACAACTACCAATTGGAAACTATCCATGAAGAAAGTTCAAACAATAATTCTCAAATTCAAAATGAACCAAAAGAAAAAGAACACAATAATAAGGATGTAATTGAAATAGACGGAGTTCAAACAAATGTAGATAGCTTGAAGTATAAGGATGCCCAAACCCTAATTCAAAATATGTTCAAACGTATAATTCAGGAAAAAGTAAAGTTATCAAAATATATTAATATAATTAAATGTTGATTTAACGCTTCTTTTTTGAATAAATTACACAGGTCTGCAACCAAAAAACTGCATAGGATTTTTTAAGTGTTTATAGATTTTCTCACTGAAACCAAGAAAAATATTTAAAAAATTCTATCATGTTTTTCATGCACCTCAATAAAATAGGAATCCAAATGATAGGTGTACGTGTGGAGAAAGGGAGGATTTACAGCATATTTTTTTTTTTAATTGTCAGAATATTTATACATTTTTAGAGAGTTGTGATATCCCAAAAAATTTTATAGTTCCTGTTACATTTTTTGATATATTTTTTAAGCTTCTGTCTTTTGGTAAGTAATGTTAAAAAAATATCAAAATTTATGTAAATGTCTGAAATTAAGCTGTAAAATATTGTAATTATTTACTTGTTACCAAATGGCTGCATATGTATCATCCTAGCTATGTAGGCCAATAAATTATTAAAAAAAACTCATATGACACTCCCCCTATTGGTAAATATCTAGTTTGAGCTCTTTTCGATTACGGAAAAACTAAGTATACATATTTATAGGTATCGCTATTGTAAACAAAAACCTAAGTTCCATATCTTGTGCAAGTGAGTAATAATGACATACTTAATTTGTTTAAATATTGTAAGGGCATGGAAAAATGTTAGAATGTCGAATGTTTTTGAATCGTTCACTATTTATATTCACCACTGTCTATCTACTAATGACTTCCGCTTGATCCTACACCAATATTTATATACAAATTTAAAAGTATGGCGAAGGTCCTAGAATGTTCACGAATTCTCACCAATACTAGAGACATCTAGTTATATTTGGAATACACTAGAAACATTATCCCGTTCTTTCTCGAATAGTCATCGAAAGCTCCTCCGCCATAGTCGTCACATATGTTTGGTCTTAAGGGGTTTAATTATGTATGATAATCGGACAAGTTGAGCCTCGAAGGCCAAATAAGACAGAGAGGGACTTGGAGGATTAGAGCATGACTGAATAATGAAATGACTCACATTACAATACGTAATGAAAGAATAGTTTTTTTTTTCAATTATAAGAAAAATTATGCTGAGTTCATTGTAAAAAATATTGATTTTTTTCATTCCTGTTGTGCTTTTTTAAACTCCCCTTGTTTTGCAAAAAATTGTACATGATGGTTATTTTTGGATTCAGCATTCTATAAAATACCTATACCAAAAACATCCTACGAAGCTGAATATTTTTTTACAAACTTGTGTTATTAGTCAGTTAAGACTGCGTTATTAGACATTCATACAAAAGTATGATTAGGTATACAATATGTTAACGTTTCAAACCTCTCTCCCAGAGAACGGTATAGAAAACCAACGTTATTAACATAGCTATTGAATAGACAGAAATAGAACATATTTATTTGCTATCCCATTACCGGTAGAGGTGTAACCATATGCGTCCAATTACGGCAGCAGATAGGCGAGACGAGAGCTACTCACTTCTAAATATATTTAACCCTTTCAGTGTATTTGTCCCTCCAGAGGGACATATTCTTGAGTAACCCTGAAGTATGCCCTGTTAATTGTGGTAAAAAAATATTTTTTTTGGTTCATTTATTTTATTTGCATATTTTTTTAAATTGCTAATAAAAGATGTCAAAATTCATCAATTTAATGCTGTGAAAAATGATGTCCCTGGAGAGGGACAAATCTACTTGTCATGTTTTTTTAATGAAAGTGGAACTGAAAAGGTTAAGTATCTCATCTTTATTCTGCTGGGTGAGTTTCGTTAACATATTGTATAAGATCACACACAAATATGGGCAAACTGGGGGATTAAGATAAAACACAAAAATAATATGACAAGTTCCTATATTTTTCCTATATAACCCCTACGGGCGCACTTGAAAATTATTTTTCTTATGTTTAAAGTACTTTGTGCAGTTTAGTATACTAGAAAACTTTCTATAAAATAGAATTTTTTAAACATATCGATACGTTGCCGGCAGAACTAACAAGACTAGAGAGAAGGAGACGAATCGACAAGGGACAAATATCCGTCCTCTTTATAAAATTTGCCAAATTGACTGTAGTTAGATATGTTAATTTTCTATAATAAATTGTTATTTTTAAATGGGTGAAAATAATCAAAATAATGTGAAAAAAGTACTTGACTACAAATAACATGAGTGACAAAAAACATCAAAGCAAGATTTGCTTCGTTCCATCAGGTTATAAAACGGGATATAAAATCATACGTTAAAGAAAACGCAAGAAGAAATCAATTCAAAGTCTTTTTAAAGCTCCTAGCAGTCTAAGTAAAATAATTTATTTTTTCTAAATATATTTATTGTAAACTAGTCACAACCTGTACTTTACAGAGTATAGTTTAATTTATTACAAATTTCTATAATATAAAATTTTACAGTCATAAATGCTCACTTACAAACAACAATAATATTTTTACACATTACATTTAACATAACATTTTTTTTTTTCAGATTTTTAAAGTGAGATGAAGAGTTCCAATGTACTATTATTTTTTTTGTTGAACCCCAATTTTGTCATTGTAAATGTTTTTTATTGGATCCTAAACGTTTAGAACAGTGGCAGCTTATCATTCACAGGGCTGATAAAGCACTTTCTAGAGATGTTTCTGTTTGCGAGCTACACTTTTTAGAAGATATTTAAAATATTACTGATGGTACTGTTAGCAAAATAAAAAGTGGAAGGCCAAAATTAAAGGATGCGGCAATACCATGTATATTTCAGAATCTCCATTTATACTTGTATTATAATATTAAAAAATATTTTAACTGTGTTTTATTTAGCTATTAAAACTATAATTAGGTGTAATTTAAAAAAAATTTGCCACAAAATTTTACCATTTAACAAACCATTTCGAATTTGGTCATACCTAATTTTCATTTTATATACAAATTAAATAATTTATCATTTAAACCATGCAAGACTTATTTAGAAATAAATACAATATTTTCTGTATGTTATTTGGCAATAAACAAGTTTATTTTTAAAAAATTATTTAAAATTTATTATTTTTAACATCCCTAAAAACACCAGCGCCCCTGCGGTGAATTGTAAAAGCTTGATAAGCGTTCGTTTTTTGAGAACGTATTCTGAGTTAGCCGATTCGCCACTCCTTCTCTCTAGTCTTCGTAGGCAGAACATCGTAAGTAACAAAATTGGGTTAACTGACCTTTTTGTGTTATCTCTTTAGGGTCCAAAAATGAGAAAGGAGGACAATCTTATATGGTTGTTTATTAGGTCTGTTCCAACAACGATCAGAAACCAGTCACTGACACCAGGATTCTGCGCAGTTGATTATTTCGACCGCCAAATTATATACTGCGCAGAATCCTGGTGTCAGTGACTGGTTTCTGATCGTTGTTGGAACAGACCTATTATATCAAAAAGTTTCCAAAATGTATAAAATTAAGATGGCGCTCGGGTACTAGAAGGGAAAAATCCAATGATATATAGATATAGATGACGAAAAGCGAGGCGCCACTAAAAGGCATTATTGCAACCAGAAGTGCGTTTAGAAACCTCGCACTCCAGTTTGCGAATGACACTGTCAGGGGATGCACAAAAGTTGGCAAAACAAGTCGTCGAACTCGAAAAAAAAAATGAAGCAAGATTACTTTCCAGCATAAAGAGAAAAATAAGTTTTGTCTATTGTTTTTTTATTAGTTTTATGTACATGTTTTTTTGGAAAACCAACAACTCAGCAAGTCTCTTGCAATTTTTTCTTGCTAGGTGTAATCAAAATTAAGGATTTTTCACATTAAATCGCGTTAAGTATCATTTTCTTTTTCGGACTTTTATACAATAGGCCTAGGGTGACCATATATGTACAGCATTTTAATGAATTGCACATTTTCAAAGTCTATCCAGTATTTGATCTTGTATAATTTTATTTGTCCAGCAAACCCCCATTATTGTCCAGCAATGTAATACATAATTTACTGAAACGTAACAAATATAACAAAACTATTATTGTATTTATCTTTGATGAGCTAAAAAAAAGATTGTTCTCTACATTATGTCTCTGTTTTTGTATTTTTCTTTCGGGAGCTAAAAAAAAAGAGGTCTTCATCCCTCCAAAGTTCATCGATGTTGTATTCGTATTCAACGTCCAGCACCGGGTTAAAATAAATATGGTCACCCTAATATACACCATACCTGCTTGAAATGGTATTATTTATCAAGCAAAAATATTTTTACTATTATTAAAAATTTCCCATAATGACATAATTTTTCTTTGTACTCTCATTTTACATTGAAGGTACTTATATTAAATGCCTACATAAAATCTGTATCGTAATATTCATTACTATACAGATTATTTTGGTTTTGATACAGATCATGGGGTCTATTCTGTAACAATTCCTTTATATTTAACGGCCTTTAAAAATATTGGCGGCCTTTAAAAATAGTTTCTTATTCGTTAATTTACTTCTATCATTATTTAAACAGATTTCTTTAAGATAGTCCTCTAATGTATTTTAAAGATCCGTTTAAATAATGACAGAAGTAAATGAGAAAATATTTTTAAAGGCCGTTAAATATAAAGGAATTGTTACAGAATAGACCCCTATTTCATTTACGATCCATCAGATAACCGTTTCATTACAATACAGAATAGGTGAGAAATTACATATGGATGAGCAATATATGTAATTATAGGTATCCAGTCAAGTCGTCGCGCGACAATTTATCGCGCGACCTTTCAGAGCCGACAATTCATCGCCACGACTTTTCATCGCTACGACAGTTTATCGCTACGACAATTCATCGCCACAAAAATATCGTATTGTATCTATAATTTATACAGTATGTCTGAAAAACAAACAATTTTTTTTGTGCTATACTGAATTTTTCTTATAAGTACCAAATAAAATTATTTTTTCGAAAAAATTACAAAATATCTTACTCTAAATTACACAAAAATATGATTTACTTTTTTTTTTGCTAATCAAGTAGTTTTTACTAAGAAAAATATAATAATTATCAATAATGTATTATTGATAAGCCAATTTAAAGTGTATAAGCGGCAGTCGCAGGTTCTCAACAGTCCTTTGGAATTGTTACAATGCAGCCAGAGAGGGAATTGCTAGAACCAATAATGCAGTTGAAGGATGGCATAACAGTTTCAGTTCAATTGTTTCCATTGCACATCTCAACATTTGGAGGCTAATTAAGGCTTCACAAAAGGAGGAAAGCCTTAACAAATTGAAAATAGAGCAAATTGTGGCAGGTAATGAAATTACTCAAAAAAAAAATTTACAAAGATTCTGCACGTCGTTTAAAACTACTTACAGAATCCTACGACGCTCGTAATACCATGGAATATCTTCGAGGAATTGCGCATAATTTTCGAATGCAAGTCTAAATTATTTAATATTATTATATTAATTCAATTTAAAATGTAATAACTAGCAACTACAATTTTTTATAATATATTTTTTTTTCAATATACCTACTTGTTTTTTATTACCTATACTAAAAATGAATTCTAAAAAATGACTGGCGACAAATTGTCGTGGCGGTGAATTGTCGTAGCGGTGAATCGTCTTACGATGAAATGTCGGCTCTGAATTTTCGCGCGATGAATTGTCGGGCGATGAATTGACGTAGATCCGTAATTATATACATTATTGGTGTGATTATCGACTGTCGGCGCCCCTCTGGTACAGAAGCGCCATCTTAATTTTATTGATTTTGAGGGACACTTTTTCTATACAAAGATAGTTCTCCTTACCTCTTACACTCCATAGTTCAAAGATAAAAAAAAATGTCAAAAAATTAAAATTTTGTTAATCTTAAACAAATTAATTAATTTTTTCACATTTTTACAAACTATTTTTTCATAATGCTATTACATATCTCCAAAATGTTTTTGAATTCCCCACCCTTTTCCTAGAATTTTTTCGCAAAAACTTTTTCATTTTTAAAAATTCGTTACTTTCTCGGATTTAATGCTGCAATTTCAAAAACTACAAATGTACAAAGCCAAAGGATCATAGATTTTTTGTAGTAAGTTTTAAATTTTGTATTTTATGCAGGGCGGTCAAAAATGAATTTTGTCTAGTTTTTTTTTTTAAATTATCTGTCCATTAATGTATTACGAATTTTATCGCCTTCGATTTTTCATCCTACTGTATGAAAGAACAATATTAGAATAGAATATAGTTGACTGAATAAAGACTTCGTCAGAATGCAACATCCAGAATCTTCCATCTGTGATATACAGGGTGTTCCAATAAAGTAGGCCAATCCGTTAACCATGGGTCCTTCGGTCAGTGTAAGAAACCTCTTATTTTTTTTTTTTTTTTTTTCGATTGGGGCCATCATGTTCAATATACAGGGTGACTTACAACTAGCGCCCTCTATGAGGTAGGTGATATTTAGACTCAAATTATGATTTGTCATCCCAAAATACCCCAGTTTACCAATTTTAAGCCATCTACTTAATAAAACGACAAAAATATAATGAAAAACGTATTTTTTTTAAATTAACTTTTTCACCCTGTACATTGAACATGATGGCCCCAATCTAAAAAAAAATAAAGGTTTCTTACACTGACCTAAGGACCCATGGTTAACGGATTGAACTACTTTTTGGGACGCCCTGTATAAAGACTACATACATAATTTATTTATTTTTCTTTTCTAATTTATAAGTATATATTGTAACGTTTGTTTATTTTAAAGTGTTTATTATTTTATTACATTTACACTAAATACGCTAATGTATTTTATAACTATGTATATTTATATCTCAAACACTTATACTAATAATTATTACAAATATTTATCTTTACAAATTGCTTATCTTACTAAAACTCTGGCAAAATTCGGCTATTTATATAAAAATGCAGCGCACTACTACTGTTCTAGAAGAATTCCAGACCTTCTGGAATAGAATGGATCAGATTTGGAAACCTTTCAAATTGCGTTTTCAACAATTTCCACAGCGTTCGGTTCGCACTCTCCGCAGAAGGAACGTCTGCCTTCGTCCGGAATAAATGTATCAAAAGGGGATTTCGGAGGTGACGAACAAGAAGGACCAAATAAGGTAGAGAGGGACTCAAGGAATTAGAGCATGAACTGCTACTTGTTTTCTATTTTTGGCATGGCTAGTTTGTATACATTTGACTCCGGTACGTGCTCCCTCAAACTAAGTAATGTTTCCCATACATCATGATAAGTGAAGATCTTTTGAACGCGTTCTTTGTTACCCAATAGAAAAGAGAAAGGCGGCCCATGAAGTTTCAATGCTTTTCCAGGGGCTGGTAATTGACCTTGAAGTTCTGGCAATCGACCAAACTTCTTTTGGAACACAGATGCCAGACCTCGAGTGTCGTTTTGATGCTGGCGGAAGCAGATCTTGTTGTTGCTCAGTTTTAACACCATAGCTTGCACTCATAAATTCTTCAAAGACAAGGTCAGGTGTTTCTTGGAGTTAATTTACTTCTTCTTCGTCATGGTCACCCTCAAACTACCTTAGGTTTGCCGTTTGGCATCATTAATTTTTTTCTTGGTGAGGTACGGACATTCCCAAGACCGTTGAAGCTTCGGAGAATAATCCTTCTTTCTTTTTGAGTTATGGAACCAGACCTAGTCGCCTTCCTTGAAATAACTATCTGTGGCTTTGGTATCGTACCGTTTATTCATCTTGTCACTGGCGAATTGAAGATGCGAACCAACTCGTGCATATCGTCCATTTTTTTCGTAACTGGGTCACATAATCTTCACCGGCTATTTGTTCTCCAGGTCAGCTCCAGGGGGGCCATGGGTCCCTCGATAGGAAAATTCTGACAATTTGAGACGATTATTTTAAAAAAATTGCTAAAGGGGATGGCTACAATGGCAATGACCCCCACCGAAAATTCGACCTGGAGCCGCCCGTGAGTCGGCATCCAAACTCGAGATTGCACGGTAGTTTCATCTCGCGCCCGAAGAGGAGTTTGGTGTTTGGTCTTACGACAGCGGATCTATAAGCCATTGCGAAGAGCAAAAGGTACTGATCGCATCTCGCTTATGGTTGGAAATCACTTTTGACAGATATTTGCCAATGGTCTTATTTATTCGCTCTACCTTTCCATCTGACTGTGGGTGAAACGCTGTAGTTCTGGTTTTCTTCATGTCTAGTTTGTCACAGATTCCTTGGAAAAGCTGGTTCTCAAAATTTTTGTCTTGGTCACTTTGGATCTTCGGAGCACTCAGATTTACTGCCTTTTCTCTTTCGGAACATTCATTCGCTCTCGCAGCTGTTTTGAACTATTTAAGGTAGTTGGTCCATGGCGTTCGAAAGTTGGGGTTTTAACAGAGGCAGAATTTCCAATTCCATCTTCATCTTTATTTCATCGTCCTTTGGCCTCTTCTGTATGTTCCAAATTTTGCCTTTCTGTTTTCTCTATTTCTTTTAGTTTCTTTTCCAGGCAGAGAGGAATTAGAGCATGACCAGACTGGTCGAAAATGGCTCGCACGACATTATATTTATTATCAACTTAGACCGAAAGACTGCCTTTTTGAAATGCCCAATAAAATGTTTTTCTGTAAATCCGTTATAATAATATACGAACCCAACTATGTATATGTTCGGACGATGTACGAAATGTTTAAAAAATATACTTATTTTAAACGGTTTTTTTTTCTTCCCGATCGAAAAAATGAGTCATATAGTCCCTACCTAACATACAGTCTGATCGTAAGGAATTGCTTTTTTATTTTGCAAACTATATAACAGAAATATAACAAATTTACTGACAAATTAATATTCGGACGCACGTAAATCTTAAAACTTAAATCGAACATAAATATAAATAGTGTTTTCAACATTTCTTCCAAACATATAGTTAATTGTTAGGTCTCGTATAATAACGACGAAAATCGAATAAAGCATTATTCGAAATAATATTTAATAGACATTTAAATGTTTTTATTAGTATTTTTTTTTGTGTCATCGGCTTCAACTACTTTCGTCTCGTGTTCTGTGTAGACTTTATTTTGTTTCACAGCGTCACTTTATTAATAGTATTATTATTATTATTATTATTATTCTTATTATTATTATTTAGAGAAATTGTAATTTCAGGAAGTTGAAGGAACATCATCCTACATATTAAGTCTAGAAAATAACTCAGTCAAGCGTCAAATTAATGAGGAGAAGAAAAATATTGATTTATTGCAATTAGAAAATGAAAAAATTAACGCTCAAGTTATTCAAACCAATGAGGAGTTTGTTCGTGTACAGCAAAATATCTTAAATGCTAGTGAAATTGATGAACAATTAAAAGTTTATGTCACTTCTACGAAAAACAGATCTATATATATTCAAGAAAGCTTTCGAGAAAAATTTAACAAAAGTTTGGATGAGAAGACTGCAATTGAGAGTTCTATTAATACAAAAGCTTTATATTTAGAAGGATTGAGAAAAAAAATTAATGATTTTAAGTCTCAATGTGGTAGCACTGATAAAAAAGACGAAAATTTACTGCTTAAGTCAGAATGTGTTGATAAACGTGAATATTCAATTAAACTAAAAAAACTTGTTGAAAATCTTAAAAGAAATTGTGAAACAAATATAGAGATATTACCATTGACAACGGAATTAGCGGAGAAGAACGAAAAAATAATTGAGCTTAGTAACGATATTAATACTACAACTGTTGAAAAAACGAAGAAGATTAATGAGGTGAATGAGAATTTGGTGGACATTACAAACAGGTAAATTTATAAAAATCACTAATTTAGTATTATTTAATTATTGATTTTTAAATTAATATTTAAATATTTTAGAATTGATTCCACAAAAGAACGTATTACAGCAATTAATTTAAAATTAACCGAAAATTCTGAAATAAAAAAGGAACTTCAAAAAGAATTAGAGATAAACCAGCAAACACTCTCCAAAAATGAAATTGAAATAAACAAATTAGAAGATGAGAAAATAGAAAAGGAGAATAAATTATTTGAATTATCTGAACAACATACATCCAAAATAAATGTATTGAAATATGACTTAAATATTTTAGAAAATGAAGTATGTACATTAAAAGAGGAAAATAACAAAAAGGTTAAAGTAAGCAAAAACTTGATTATTTTGTAATTTCTCTAAATATTTTTGACTTCATGATGTATTGTAGGCAGTAAGTCTAAACAATTTCTTTGCAAAATATTTTGAGAAAATGGCGGAAAAAAATGTTCTAAATGATAAAAAAGTTGCTCTAGAAAAGATTCAATTACTGGAAACAGAAATAAACACAGAAGAAACTAATATAAAAAACGCTGAAATAGAATTGGAGGAAATAACCTATAATCCACTTTTGGTTGATTTGACAAAGAAAAAAGACTTTTTAGATGCTTGCAAAATTTATTTTTCTGATCAAATGGAAAACATAAAAAAAGAACACTCAGAAGTAAAACAACGCGTTCAGGAAGCGACAGGAGATGTCAATCGATTAACAAAATCTATTGAAGAAAAGAAAACTGAGAAAAATCGGTATAGAACACTCAAAAGAAAGCATTCAAAAAAAGATAAAATAAATTCTACATTAGTATCAGTTTCTTCCTCCACACAAGATATTGAAAAAGATTGTAAGTATTAACAAGTTAACGTTTTAAAATCAACTATCAGACGATCCACTATTTCGTTACTATTTTTATTTTAGTTAATTTACCTACGAGTATTCTCAAGAAAAAACCTCAATTCACCACTCCATTTTCACCAAAGAAAGTTCAGTTTGCTAACCTGTCATCGACAGAATCAAGTGGTTTAACTAGAACCATAGAAGAGGTTAGTAATATAAATTAAGATCCAGCGACCGCCAGATATACGTTATAATCCATTTTGTAATTATTCCTTTCAAACTTGTACGGTAATTTTTTCCTTTTTGCTCTGTGTTGAATACCGTTTTTTAAATTTTATATAAGGGGTTTAGTGATTTCCTGTACAATGTACATTATTTACATTTAATTTATTCCTAAGACTGTAGTGAACTGCTTGCTTAAAAGGTGCTGGTTTTCGTTCGTCGTTGTAGAAAATAAAAAGCCGGCTATAATTAACACTTATTTAATCGAAATTCGTCGAACTGTTACATCACAAACAACGGCAAAGTATGTCGGTTGTCGTTGAGAGAAATATCTTCTAGAATTCGTTTGCGGCTAAACAACGGGCGAGTTAAGAAGCGTCGTTTGCTTGAAACGTCTGCCCAATATTTTTTAAAGTAAATGTCCACATGAATGTGACGTGGATTGCGTAATGACCTCGAAAAATCTAAAGTGCGCCAGAGTAGGCATTGAGATTTTTTACACCCAAATAAAAATTGTTAAAATTAAAATATTTGTTGTGTTCAGATCTAAATTCATTATGTTGAAGGACTACTTCAACATCCTTTGTACTACCAAGCTTTTTTCAAACGTGCGGCAGCGAGCGGCATACTTCCTGTCTCTCGGTGTTTTCTAGATTCTATGTATTCGTACATATAAAACTGAACGTAATTTGGTTATATTACATTTATATTGGAATTTAAATGGAACAGAGAGTTAATAAAAAAAAATAAATAAAAGTTATTTTTAAGAAAAAATTAGTAAATTACAATTTTGGCTCATATTTGTAGCATAAAAATATGCAGCTACTTAAAAGAGTGTGACGAACAAAAAAAGAATGGCTTAAAAATATATAAAAATACACGTGGGGTGCAAATGCACCCCGTTTGGTAGTTCAGGGGTATTAAAAGTTTCGACAAATTTGACACAAATGTTTAGTTTTAATTTCAAGATTAAAATGCCATTCTATGGAAGTGGCTAAAATACCAATTCAAAACATTTAACTTATATCAGTTAACTCCAATTATATTTTTCTCGAAGGCTCGTTATGATTAATCATGTGTATGTACACTATAATAGATAGGATTTATGTGTTATAAACTTTAAGTATGATGTGTTTCGATAGATATTCAAGGTACATAAAAATGTCGTGGTAAACCGTTATAGTATATTTGATTTTTTAATATGTTCAACTGAATAACATTATAAACTCCAATCAACAATTGCCAGACACTTTCACGTGCAACTTCCGACAGACGATTTCAAGGTCACAAAATAACAGGGTCATTTACATTACAGTATCTGTAACGTGTGAAAGGTTGGGTTAACGTGAGCCAGCCTGCAGATTTAAGAATAATAATAATAATAATAATACTCTCCCTAATTCACCCCCTTACGAGTGAATTTTAACCCCAAAAGCCGAGCTTGTGCGGGGAAAGGGACGGCTATTATTATTATTATTTGCCGTGACGCTCCGGGGCGACTTAAACATGATTGATGGTGCCATTTGACTTACAGGTGAGGAAAACCTCACCCACCATCATCGAGACGGTAATGTATGGCGAATTTTTTTAATCTGCATGTCATATCAACAGAAATTGAATTTCTATTAATTCGGCACACATCAAATCCTATACCGAACCATGCAATTTAATTAAAAATCCACATGTTCTGGTCTGGGATTCGAAGCCCAGCAGTCTCTGACACGTAAACTTGCTTATAAATGAATATAAGCGCGTTAGACCGCTACACCACCGTACCCGACCCGACCCGTATAATGTAGTGACAAGGTCGTCAAGAGGTGCTTCTCTTTTATATCGGTAGATGTGATCCAATTCTCGCCGAACATAAATCTTCTAATAAATGAGAGCGTCGGGCAATCGTAGAGGATATGCTCGATAGTCTCATCTTTCGCACTCCCTGCAGAATACGGATTCTGACAGCCCCATGTTATGGAGATATTTCCGTACTTGGCAATAACCAGTCAGAATGCATGTGTCTAATCATAGTCAATAATTTGTTTGCTGTAGCGTTATCGGAATAACTTAAAAGCTTCCTGGCAAGTCGGCAGCTTATTGTTTCATCCCATCTTTCCTTGAATTTCACAAGAGAATGTTCTTTAATTAGGTTTGTCACTACCGATATTTTGGGCCAGGGCCAGGTCCAAAAAGTATTTTGTTGGCTGCCTTCTTGGCTGATGATACAAAAAAATTTCAGAGGTGTGATACTTAGCTGACGAAATCTCATCGAATTCGCGCATAACGTATTGTGGTGTGAAATATGGCTGATTGGCCATAAGCAGATTAAAATTTATTTGCGCGCGCTGTTTTCGATTAGCTGATTCCTTAAATTCGTAAAAGCCACGCCTTTCCCTCACAATACGTCACCTTGACGTAGATGAATCGGCGTAGGTTAGGTTAAAAATGAGAATGATCTCATCGCCGTCCACTGAAACACAGATGGATCTATTGTGGCTGAATCGGCGTAATAGTATACCTTCTTTTTATAGTATGATGTTCTTGGCTAGTAAATCAACAAGACCTTTCGATGTGGCGTGACGCTTTGATCCATCTTAAGGTGACCACATTGTTGATCGGTATTTCAGCCGAAGCTTCATGATATTCTAGTACTAACTCTTAGTAAATTCGTAGTCTGTCCAAGGTGAGTAGTGCTTCTCTGCTATATGTATAGATGAACATATTCCTTCCAGTGATATTTGTTTCTGGTGATTTCTTTTGCTGCTATAAGAATCTCCGCGAGCTCGGTTTGAACTACACTGGCACTATTGCTCACAGCCCATTTTCTGTTTATATTTAAAAATCTGGAGTATATTCCACATCCTGGGCCTTGTTGTTTTAGAACCTTCGGTGTAGATATGAATCGTAGCTGCCACTTCCGGCTCTTTCATTTGTTGTTATAACTTTGGTATATCTCGGCGAGATGGAGTCCATATGTTCGCTTGAAGCAGTGAAACGTATCTAGCGCCTCGCTCCAATACGTCATAGTATTAAATATTAATATTATAGCAGTGGCGGCTTGTGATAATAGGAGATGGTAGTGCCAGATTTTTAACAAATGTGAAAACCCCGCCGGAGACGCCCTGTCGGAGGCCCCCCACCAGAGGCGAAAATTTTTTTGGGGTGCCACGCCTAAATTTTTAACAAAAAGTCGTTTAAAAAAGTGGCTTTGGGCAAAAATTTATCACTTTTATATCTATTATATGACTAATATTTATGAGATTTCTAACACAAGTTTTGCCACGAAACATGCCGTCAGGGTTAGTCTCATCCTAAACTTTGCCAATAAATTACTCAAAACTTATCAAAGAACTCTGTAAAATTAATTAAAAATTATAAATTAACTTACCCCCCGTAATTAATGCTGAAAGTCCTTGCATTTCGTTATTACCATAAAGAGGCTTTAGGTCCATATACCAGAAAAATCACAAACATAAAACTATGCCTATTTACAGTATTTACACACGCGCACAAAGTTGCTTGATATACTAGTTTTAAAGTTTCCGATAAATGAAGTCTTCTTTCTTTTTTGGTTGCAAAGTTTTCAATTACTTTATTATTCAAATTTTCAATTCCATTTACAAAATATTTTTCTGCGGACAACATACCTCTAAAGCACTAAATCTTTCTTCCTTCATTGTATTTCTGAGGAATGTTTTAATCCGTTTAAGCATTGAAAAACAGCGCTCTGCTTCAGATTTTGTCATAGGTATTGTTGTCAAAATACCTAAAGGTTTAAAAGTGTCCTGAAATGTACAATTTAAACCTTCCTCATTTAATAAAATTGACAGCGGGACAGCTCCGGAGGTGGTACTTAATTTGTCTCTCTGATACAGTACTTGTAATTCATTTTTAAGCATATTTTTGTCTAAAAATGAAAATTGTATACATGTTTCATTGAGGAATGATTCAGGAAACTGATGCCTATAGACCAAAAACTTGTTCGACATAAATACATTAGAAGCGACCAAATGCCCAGAGAAGTTGAACCTTGTTTTTATTTGCAATAAAACGGCATCGCATATTTCTAAGGCTTCGTGTTTTCTGCTGTTCTCTTCAATTCGTGCCTTTTTTCTTATTGGTTCACCAGTTTCTCCTTGCGACGCGTTTATTTCTCCTTGCGACGTGTTTATTTCTCCTTGAATATTGTCAATAATGCTGTCCATTTGCTCCCGTATACCTTGAATTGCTGCTTCGAAATTCTCCAAATCTTTCTTGACCTTAACAGAATCTGTGCATACTTTTTGTAATTGGTTAAAAATAATTTCCACGTGAGGCATTATTTGATGAAAAATACTTAACCAAAAGATAAAATTTTTATCCCGAAGTTTCAATTTGTACCCACTTTCTTGATTAATAGAAGACGAATCGCGTGAAGTACTTTCTATAATGTCCACAACTGTAATGAGGTCTTTTCTATTCCCATAAACAGTATGAACACCTCGCGATTGAAAATTCCAACGTGTTTGGGAAGATCTTGGCAACCTGCGATTAACTACCTCATCCAAAATTTTTGTTCTTTGAGGAGACGTGGAAAAGAAAGAGCACAAACCAGATAAATTAGAAAAAAATATTCTAGCCTGCTTATTGACAGAACATGCACTTGTCATAACTAAATTCATCTGGTGTACATAGCAATGAACGTAATTTGCAAGAGGATATGTTTGTTTAATAATTTTTTGCACACCATTTAATCCACCACTCATTACAGACGCGCCGTCATAGCTTTGAGCACTTAATTTATTTGGACTATGTTTTAATAATGGATGTAAAACATTAAAATGCATTCAGCGATTGATTTGGCGTCGTGTCCATCGAACATGTAAAACCTCCAAAATCTCTCAACTGATCGTCCTTTACACAAAAATCTGAAAACTATAACTAATTGAAATTCACAAGCATCGTCCGTCGTTTCATCGGAAATCACTGCAACAAAAGGAGAATTTTCTATTTCTTTCCTAATTTCTTCGTGATAGACATCTAACAAGCACTCAAGAAGTTCATTTTGGGTTGTTTTTGAGGTACCTTTGAAAGCTTTTGAACTTCGAATATGAACCTTTAAGTCGTTGTCTAATTCTGCGCTAAAATTCACCAGCTCCTTAAATATGTCTCTATTTTCCGAATTATCTTTCTCATCGTGACCCCTTCAAGCTAACTCAAATGCTCCACAAAACCTTATACAATTTATTGGCCTGCCTAATTCTTTAATTTGTAGTTTTTCTTCTAGCAAAAAACCACTAACAGTGTTTTTTAAGACGCCAATTTTATTCGTTGTCACAATTAAAAAATAGGAAATAATATATTTAAACAAGTTTATCGAAAATAAAAAGACACTAATAATACTAAAAGCGCGTAAACAAATTCGCTTAATTCACGCAACAATCGACATTATCGAGAAACCGCGATTATCTGAACAGCTATCCGCGCTGCGCCTGGCACAAACATTCCTTGATTTTACCGTTTAAATACATGTAAAATGTCCCCATCTCTGTTGCTCACATAGACTGCTGGTAAAATCATTCTCTCTCTCTCTCTCTCTTTCATTACATAGTCAGGAACGAGGGCCACCGAGAGATCATCATTGAGTTTTTCGTAGAGATATTTATTGGCTTTATGGTGTGTGTGAGATTTCCTGGATGTCGTATCTTGGTAATGATTCTCAGTATAGAAGTTTCGGCCACTTGAATATTTTTTTAATGCACGTCTTCGGCTGTTTAAATACTTTGTCCTTATTCCAGGAGAGGTCTACATATTATTTTGTAGATTTGAGTCGCCATGTAGGCATAAATGCCTTCTTTTTTGTATGTTAAGCAATGGATTTTTAAATTTTATTTATTATTTAAAATAAATCCGGGTTTCATTTATAATTTCTAAATTTAATTTTTTGTAATTTTTGTCGTATATTTCCCTAAAATGGACAGTATTCGAGATATTTGAGGAAAAGTGCAAATTTTGAACTGAAAAACGGATAAAGAGAAAAACCAAATTTTAAACTTAAGCTTTAATCCATCCTGCCGTGAGCTGATTACATTTTGGGCATAGTAGAAGCATCTGAGGGGATACTTTATAGGGTGTCGTTTTTTTACTTTAACCAATATCTCTTATTTACGGTTGGAGAAGAAAATCCTTCAATTAAAAGTTGTATGCTTCAAAATCATCTTAGATTCAGTAAAAACGCGTTTAAGCTATATTCCGAATCTCGTTGCAAAAGATAAATACCGTGTCACGTGGCCAAAAACCGTATACCTATCGGAAGTAGCAAAACCGAACTACAGAAAATGCTTGCAAGGGTTTTCTATTGTTACTGACGTCTAGAAGCTTATATGTTATTGTCAGAAAAAATCCATTGATAAGCAACTTTAAATTTCACAGGTTACATAACCGCTCCCACCACCGGAACATAGTATATGTTGGTCACTCTCCCCCCCCCCCTTCTACCTAACTAAAATGAGCAAGCAAACAATACGACGAGCCCCTTTTTGCAGTCAGATATAACGTTTCGTTGATGGTCGCTGGTTCTCAGACTACAAATTTAAATTTGCTATGATCAAACTTTCTTGGTCTTGAAACAAACTTTCTTGGTCTTGAAACAAGTATTCAATTTCAGGTTACAGATCTCGATAAAGTGCTGGAGAATTTTCGAAAAATGCCAAAACAACAATCTTCAAAACAGGAACTGAATAAGAGGAGAGTTTTTTTCGACTAGACAAATGTATAAAATTTTATAAAGGCCGCTGAGCGCTATGGGATTGAATCAAAGATAACCCGGATTTTTTTTATTAAATCATAAAAATACAACATATTTTGAGATAGGATACTGTAATTTTAATTTTTCAAGTTAATATCATCTTTTTTTTAAGTGAAGCACTAACTTTTATCAAGAATACATTTTTCTCAAAAAACAATTAAAAAGTGTTCCATATGATGCAAACTTTAAGAGACTGTGTATTCCTGAATATATTATCTCATTAGGCATGTTAATTGCCGTAATAAGGGGCCTATTCAGTAACTCTGAACGACGTCGTTAATAGACGATAATCGTTCACAGACGATAATCGTTCACAGACGACTTTTCTTATTCAGTAGACAACGATTGTCGTTGAAAATAGACAAATATGGTTGTAAAATTGTCGTTCATCAACGATAGCCAAAGAGCTGTCGTTAATAATATGAAGTGTCGTTATAGTGATTTTATTTTGCATTCCCTCTCATTTTTTATTGTGAATCAGGATGTGTTCTAAATAATAAAAGCACTTTTTTACAAATTTTACAACTAAATTGCCATATACCTAATACAGCAAGTACAATTTTTAAGGAATTTTTTTCTAATTTATTTAATTATTTTAAAAATAAATCTGATTCAAAGTTAGGATTGCCCATTCAACCATTTACTATTGGATTCTTATTAACAGTGATGATCCTAAAAGTAGCACTGCAAAACAGTAACAAAACCTATAATACTTCTCCGTAACCTACACAAATTTGGTTTGGCTTTCAAATCCAATAAATACAACTTGTACTGTTCTCGAGTTGTTTTTTGTATTCTTTTGGAATAGTTCTCAGTTTTTTTTAATATATCCATACTCATTTAAATAAACCCTACATACAATACGACCAGCAAAAATGGCCCGCGAGAAACAGAATTCCTACGAATCGAGAATCGACCCCCTGATCGTGTTGTAGGTTAAGAATAATAATTAATATATTCTGAAAAACAAATGAATATATCTACTGGTAGAATTTTTATTTTACGTTCCAAAAAAATGTCAAATATACCGGGTGTTCCAATTAAAGGGTTACAGTTAAATACCGCCTTTTATAGAAAAAAACAAAGTTTTATAGTTTTTTGGGTAAAACATTTTGGCTAAAATTGTTTTTTTATAGCAAACCATAATATGGCCAACTTTTTTTCGCGCAGCAAAATTTTCAAGTAGATGTTACTCAATAAGTAGAAATCCAATAAAAAAATGTTTCCTTTAGATGTTTCTTATTTTTTTATTAACTCGCAAGAATACCTATGAAAAAAAATAGGGTTCCAATTTGAAAAAAAATCCACCTCGATATGGCCATATTATGGTCAGCTATAAAAAAAATTAATTTAGCCAAAATGTTTCCCCTAAAAAACTATAAAACTTTTGTCTGATACTTTTTTTTATAAAATGCATATTTTTGGCGATATTTAACTGTAAAACTTTAAATTAAACACCCGGTATAATCATCAACATACGTTCTTTTATCACAAAACACTAAATTATAATACCAACTTACTAGAAATCATCGTTCAGATTTGGTAACTAGAAACAACGTAATGACTCTGTTATTGAATAGAGTTTCAAAAATTATCGTTATAGAAGTCGTTGGTTGAACTGTCGTTAGCTTAACGATGTCGTCCATAAACGATAAATTACTGAATAGGGCCCTTAAGACATAAAAGTAGTGTTCTCTTAATAAGAAATGAATTTGATTTTAGTTTTTATAGTAAAATTACGAATTTCTTTAAATATTGTTACAATGTTAGTGTTACTTTTAATGTCAAACAAAAATAAATGGAAAATTGTTTTACATTGTTTAATACTTTTAATTTAAAAACCAATTAAAGCATATTGAGTGAAATCCTTGTATATCCAAAATAGGAAATTTTAAGGAAGACAGTTAAAACGGCTCTGTTAAATTACAAAATACATAAAATTTTGTTGGATCAAAATAAGAAAATTGATTCTTGTATGACAACAATTACTATTCTGCAGAAAGAGAATTCATTTATGCAAACTCGAATTTCTGAACTTGAAAAACAAGTCAAACCATTGAACTCAATGGAATTGTACTGTGAATTCAAAAGTAGAATTGATAGGGAAAAAAATGTAATCATGTATGGTGTTGATGAAATTCTGGATTTGGAAGTAGCAGTTAAAGATATCCTACAACTGACTTTAAATCAAGCTAATGTTAGTTTTAAAAAATTCTACAGAATTGGTAAAGCACAAAATAGAAGTAATCCTAGACCGGTAAAAATTGAGTTTTCATCCAAAGAAAGTGCCCTCCTAGTTTTACGTAATAAAGACAAATTGCCCAAGGTAAAATATCCAAATGTCAAGGTTGCAAATGACTATACACCTCGGCAAAAAGAAGAGTTATCTTTAGTATTTCAAGAATTAGACAACCGAAAGGCTAAAGGAGAAAATATAAAAATTAAGTTCATTAATGGTCATCCACAGATTGTCCCAATTATCACCACAAAAAGAGGTCGTGATGAAGAATCCTCCCCTAACCAAAGCACTCTCAAAATAAACAAAACTTCAACCTCAACAAAAAACTAACTATAACTTTCTGGAATTGTCATGGTTATAGAAACTTACAGAACCTACTTTCATCGACCACTTCATATGACTTTCTTTGTGTTAGTGAGACATGGGTTACATCGGAGATTGCATCGGCAACCGAAGTAGGTTTAAATGACTTTAGTGTAGTAAGTGCGTGTGCGGTAAAAGAAAAATCCTTAGGTAGAGGAAGTGGGGGTTTGTGCATTTTCTATAGAAACACTTTTAATGCTTTTGTTTTATGTAAATCATCTTGGTGGATATGTTGTTTGTTCAGTTTAAATGATTTTAAAATAATAATATGTAACTTATACTTAAAGCCATCAATAAATATTGATTTTATTTTAGAAAGTTTTCAGATTACACTGACCGAGATAACAGAAAAATACACTGACACTGTAATTGTAATTGGTGGTGATTTTAACAGCAGGGTATCTAATATGGGAACTATACCCAGTGAAGTTCTTGAAAACTCAAGTTTGTATGAGGACAGGGTAAGTTTAGACACAACCCTAAACACTAGAGGACGCTTGTTACTTGAATTTATGGTTAATAACTCTTTTTCACTTCTAAATGGAAGAACTTCGCTGGATAGGCTTGCCAAATATACTTATGTAAGCAAGCTGGGCAAAAGTGTAGTGGATCTTGTCTGGGTGAGTAACTTATATATATCAGAGGTTAACAACTTTTTTGTGAGTTTCGACGATTTTTTATCAGATCATTTTCCAACAAATTTAATGTTTAATTTTAATTTAAACCATTCTGCTCCACCTATTGGTGTTCATATTAATTCTTCGACCAAATCGCTGAATTGGAAGTGTAATCTGGCATTAAATTACAAATTAACTATGCTTAATTCTAGTAAAGTCACATTTATAGCCGATGTAAATAAGTCTATGAATAATCTATACAGTGCAGTGTCTGAAACGGCTAATCAGTTAGGCCTAATTAAATACACTAATCCTACAAAGTATATTAATTACAATAATAAAAATAAGTCATGGTTTGACACTTCTTGTAAAGATTTAAAAAAACAACTTAAAGTAGCACTTAAAAAAGCAAAACAAGATAATTTTTCTGAAGAGGCTAAAAACAACTATCTTGCACTAAAAAAACAATTCAAAAATTTAACGACAACAAAAAAACAAGATTATCACAATGAAAATGTATCCAGACTTACTAATTTGTCAAATTCTAAAGAGTTTTGGATGGCTGTAAAGCAATTTCGCTGTAATTCAAAATCACACAACCTTACTGCAGAAGTTTGGAATGAATTTTACTCAAATGTATATCCTGCTACTCTCACTAATAGTATATCTTATTTTGATGTTCGCCATCCATATCTTGATTCTCCCATCACTACTGAGGAGATTTACGGTGTTCTAAATAATTGTAAATACAAAAAAGCTCCAGGTAGCGATGGTATTTCATACGAATTCTTTAAAAATCTTCCTCATAATTGGATTATCTACTTAACTTCACTCTACAACCGTATTTTTGAAACTTGTACTGTTCCCGACACTTGGTCTAGCATATTACTGTCTATGTTGCACAAAAATGGGCCCGTAGATGACCCAGCCAATTACAGAGGAATAGCTTTAGTTAATTGTTGTGTAAAGTTATTCACTAATATTCTTCTAACTAGGCTCTCTATGTGGACAGATGACTCTAATATCCTACCAGAATGTCAAGCAGGTTTCAGAACCGGTCGAGGTTGTATTGATAATGTTCATACCCTTAGCTCTGTAATACATATTCATATTAGACATCGAAAAAGAAAACTATTTGCAATTTTTGTTGACTTCAAAAGAGCATTTGACTCTATAAATCACACATTACTATGGAATAAACTATTTGGACTAGGAATAAGTGCAAACATTCTCAATGTAATAATAAACTTATATTCTAAAGCAACTGTCAAAATTAAATCCCTCGATGGATTATCTAACCCTTTTCATGTAACATCCGGTGTTTTGCAAGGGGAATCGTTAAGTCCACTAATGTTTGCCCTGTTTTTATCAGACATAGAAGATTTCTTTTATGCAAATGGTGCTCAGGGAGTAAATATTGATAATTTACATGATGTCCTTATGCTGCTTTATGCTGATGACATGGTAATATTGGCTCACTCTGAGATTGACGTCTTAAAGAAACTTAAAATTTTAGAAAAATATATTTTGTTAAATAATCTAACAGTTAATACAAAAAAAACCAAAATCATGTCATTTTCTCGAGGTGGCTTCCAAAAAAATAATTTTCCTTTTATATTTAACTCAGAACTAATAGAAGTTGCCAATAAGTATGTATATCTAGGTGTGACGTTTTCTTCTTCTGGGTTATTCCATGATATGGCTTTATCATCAGTTGATAAGGCAAAGCAAGGAATAGGAGCTATAATACCTATAATGTCCAAAGCTAAAATTGACACCTGGCCTCCTAGAATTAAAATATTTGAATCCTTGGCGCTCAGTCTTATGTCCAACTGTTCTCCTGTTTGGAGTCTGAGGTACCAAGATTTATTAGAAAGAGTGCAAGTTTCATTTCTTAAAAGAATACTCTTAGTTCCTCGTAATACTCCCGATAGTGCAATCAGATTAGAAACTGGTAGAGTGAAATATGCATTTAATATATTTAAAATGACACTAAATTGGTTACTTAAAATACTTAATATGAGTGACGAACGCTATCCTAAACTTTGTTTTAAGCAACAACTCCTTTTGATAGGTTCTTCGGATAAGAAATATAATTGGGTTGCACAAGTTAAAGAAATATTTACATCTATTAATCATCTAGATCTATGGAATAACCTCAATGCCAGAACTTTAAAATTAAACACAAAAAAGCTGTTATCTGATTATTATAACAGATTGTATAATCTGGATGTCTCCTTTTCCGAACGATGCCACTTTTTATCTTTTTATACGTCATTTCCAACTGGAAAAAATCCTAAAAGTTACCTACTATTAAAATTACCAATTCACATCACACGCACACTTGCCCAGCTTCGTTTAAGTAACAAATATCAGCTAAAATTCACTGTAAATAACATTTTGTACACAATAGATCCCAAAAGTATATGTACAGTGTGTAATAAGGCGGAAAACGAAACTCTTTTACATATTCTTTTTGAATGTCCGATTTACAATGTTATGAAGCCTAAAATTCAATCACTTGAAAATATAAATGCTCTTATTGCAACACTAGAAAATTTGACCATCAATGATGCTAAGTATATTTACTCATATATTTGTAACATATTAAAATTGAGATCATTTATTTTGAACGAATAATGTATTCTAGTATTCTATGATTATTTAATATATTTTTTTTTTTTTACTTTACTTTTAGCTCAATTTGAATTATGTTTATGTTACTGTGACTACACTCAAACTCTTGCTGTAACTTTGTATAAGTTGATAAGCAATAAAAATTATTATTATTATTATTATTATTATACAAAATGGAAGTGTGTTTTACATGCACGTAGCACCGCTCTCGATACAGAACTGCCATAGCAACATGGAGGAAGGATTATTAAGAGTTGCCGTTTCTTTGTAGAAATTTGGCAACATGTTTGCTTGCAACGACCTGTGGGGTGGAGGAGTAGAACTAATCTTACTCTATCGGTAATGTAGTTACCAGCAGTATTACCATCAACTCATACAATGTCAACTCTTACTCTGTCGGTAATGCAGTTACCCGTAATTTTATATTTAATTTGAAAATTGGCGGGTTTTTTAAAGGAGAATTTACTTTTGCAATTATTTTCTAACTAATACGAAATATAGCCATACAAAATTTTGATAGTAATTTTTTTAATTTTTTAGTGAAATAAAAAACATGTACGTGTAGTTAAAATATGTTCCTCTGGAGCCACTTTTTCAAAATTTAATCAAATTTTGATGGCAATAAATCGCAAAATTTTGTTTTTATAAAGATTTCAAAAATTGAGAAAATAATTAAATCAAATTTCGGAATAGTGGTTCCAGAAAAACAGACATTTCACTTTTACCTGAAGGTATATATTTTTCATTCACTAAAAAGTAAAATTAAACTATAGAAATATTTGTGGCTCTATTTCGTATTGTTTAGAAAAAGATAATTGCTTAAGTAAATTTTCCTCTTAATTATAATTAAAATTTTCCTTTTTTATTAGCTGTTTGTAACAATTATGAAATGCCCAATAAAAATGTAAAATTCTATGACAAATAATTATGAGGGATAAAATAAATATCATACAAAGT